CTTGGGGTGAGGGGCCTCCCGTCCCACCCCTTCGCTGGCTGAGGGACCCCACCATCCAGCGCAACTCAAGCCAGGCCTCCGTCCCTGGGTACAAGCAGGCTCGGCTCTGGCAGGGCGCTCCCTTCATGACCACTGTTCACAGCTGACAATAAATGTGGCCACCTCAACGTCATCTCTGCAGCTGCTGCCCTGGGATGTGGTCCCAACCAGGGACCACCCCACACTTTGTCCAGGGTCACCCAGCTTCAGCTTGTAATGCCTCTGTGTGTTCTCCAAGGTCCCCACGGGTCACCTGCAGCCTCCAGAACATGTGGGCGACACTGGTGTCTCTGAGGTTGGCCTCTCTGCCTCCATTTGGTGCTGGGTCATTGAGAGCTGGAACCTGAGCATGGGCTGTAGCTGTGCTGGATGTGCACAAATCCATCTGCTAGGGATCGAGCCGGACATCAGGTGCCTTCACAGCACTGGGTGCCCAGCGCCTCTACTTCCAAATAGCCCATTTACCCCTGAAAGGCACCTGCAGTCCAGCAGTGACCCAGTCCCCTGCACAGCCCCGTCACCTGCCCACTGCCTGTATCTGGATGGCCTGCTATGGATAGGTCCTGCCCACGGTGTCCACACTCTGTGACCCTCTGTGTCGCCTTCTCTCACCAAGCCCCATGTCTCAAGGTCCGTCCCACTTGCAGCACATGCCAGAGCTGCAGTCCTTTTCAGGGCTGAGTAATATTCCATCATGTGGATGGACTCATCCTGTTCCCCATTCCTCCTCAGTGGTCAACTGGGTCACTTCTCCATTCTGATCCTTGTGCATGGTGGTGCTGTGAATGTTCACACACAAGTCTTCCTTCAAGCATTTGTTTCTGGGTCTTCAGGAACATACCTAGGCTGGAGGTGCTGGTGGAATGGGAACTCTCTGTGTAACCCCATGAGGCCCCTGGGTTATGCTCGAATTCGGGACCCCCAAAGACCCCAGAGACCCAATATCGATGCAAGCAGCAAAGAGGTGTTTATTGCGAGCTAGCTCAGTCCTCTGCATGCCCACACAGCAACTGGTGATGCTGAGAGGCCCGGAGCCCAGGGTTTGCAGCATTTTTATACATTTTATGGAGAGGGCAGGGACTTCACATACATCATAGCCTCTTTTAGCAAATCATCAAACACCGCGGGAAAATCAAATAACAACTCTAAAACATGATTAGCACATTCACTGGTGGGAACAAGTTGGGTAGGGCTGATTGGTCAGTACAAAAGGGGTATTCGTTTGAACTGATTGGTTTGAGCCAAGAGGGGTGTATGTGCTGAACTACATGGTTTCCCAACTTGTTATTAACCACCATAAACCACTGGGAGGGTTATCTGGCATCCCAGGTATTTCCCTGTCTCATGCTGATTGGTGGCTGCTAGGGGGCTGCTATGGATCCCCACCTAGCCTGACTGAGTCAGGGACACGTGGCACAGCAGATCTCTCCTGTTACTTGTAGATAAACAACTTAGCAGGGTGGGAATATGCTTAGGAGTGCTCTGGGGGTTTTTCCAAGGACTAAGGTCATGTCCCTTCCTTGGACAGGCTTTGCTCTGAGGTAAAGGCTGGTTTTTCACCTGCACACTGTCCCTCCACAGGGGGTTCAACTCTGACCTCCCACAACACACATGCTAAGAGTGATGTAGAACTTTGAGTCCCCGACTCCAGAGGGCTCAGCACAGAGCTCACTGGAGGTCCCCACACAGGTGGCCTGCAGGTGCAGATGGCTCTGCTTGCCAGCTGCCGGGAGTCTCTGTCATGGGGTCCCCGTGGTCATAGTTGCAGAGTGCAGTTTGTGCTGTGGGCAGGGGCAGGCAGTGCTGTGACCAGGAAGGGCTGTCCTGTGCTGCCCCGAGTCACCTTCGGCTGGGATCTGGGGTTCTCCAAGAGAGAGGGCCTGATGCAGCCTCTGAGAATCCTTTCTTGTCTAGGGGCTGTCTGTGTCTGTGGGTAAGTGGCAGAGGGCTGGCCTAGCACAGAGTTTGAGCCTTAGAGTGGCATACAAAAAGGAACAAATTGAAAGAAGGTGTGCTCTCCACTGACAACTTACTATGAAACAGAAAAAAAAAAGAATAATAATCATAATAGGAAAAAGGATTCTTCCTTGTGGAGTTCTAGTTTGTCTGTTTGGCCATTTTATCTTTTTTTGTATTTTTATTTTTATTGATCTATCTATTTCCTTTTTTGGGGGGAGGGGGCTGTTTTTGCTGATGCTATCGTTGTTGTTATCCCTAAGAAATGAGCATTTTCTTGAACCGCAAGTCATTTTGCATTGGGTCACAGAGCCAAATTTTACATTTAGGCACTTGGTAATAAGAAGCTTTAACAGGGCTCTAAGAGAGGCTGCCTTGACTAAAAAGCATGGTCTGTTGCCCTAGACTGAAACACCACATGCTCTGGGATAAATAAAGCTGGAGAAAGCTTGCCATCTCTACCTTCATTTTTATCTGTGTGCACATATTACACACTGTTTCATCTAAGAAGTAGCAGTGCAACCAATATCTGTCAGCCCTAAATGGACCCAACCCCTGCCCTCCCTAGCCACACAGGAGACCACAGTCTGAGCAAGAGCACTTCATGGTGTTGTCAGTCTGGTGTTGTGGCTCAGTGGTACAGCACTTACCAAGTACGCATGAGGCACAGGGTTCAATCCCAGCACCACATTAAAGTCATCATCATCATCATCACCTAAATAAACAAAATAAAGGTATTTATTTATTTGTTTGTTTATTTATTGGAGGAGGCCTGTAACCAGGTATTGAACTCAGGGGAACTCACTGACTACTGAGCCACATCCCCTAGCCCTACCTATCTAGTATGTTACTTAGAGACAGGGTCTCACTGAGTTGCTTAGTGTCTCACTTTTGCTGAGGGTGGCTTTAAACTCTCTATCCTCCTGCCTCAGGAGAGATAGATAGATAGATAGATAGAGAGAGAGAGAGAGAGAGAGAGAGAGAGAGAAGCATCTGGGATGACAGGCATAGGCCACTGTACCCAGTCACTTATTTATTTTCAGTATGACTTTGTAAGGGTCTGGCGAAGCGTTGGAGAAAGAGACCACCAGTGACCACTCATGCAATTGGCATAAGGGGATTTATTGAACCAGCATGCTGGGGCTCCGTGCCCACTCAAGAAGGGAAAGCAGCCCAGAGCCCCAAGCAGGGGCTGAGCACTGCTTAAGTACACTTTTTTTGGGAGGGCGGGGATTTTACATACATCATAGTCTCCTTTAACAAATCATTATACACTGCAGGAAAGTCAAGCAACAACTCCTAAACATGATTAGTTCATTCATTGGCGGGAACAGGTCAGGCTGGAGTGATAGGTCATTTCTAAATGGGGTACACATTTAAACTGATTGGTTTTAGGGCCTAAAGGACTACGTGACCAGTTACACAGAATCCCTAGTTATTGGACAACCAGGGAGTCAGTGGGAATATTTACTGGGCAGTTCCAGTATGTCCTAACAGCTACAGGGATTTCAGGTAGCATAGAAACATAAAAATACCTAATCCTTTACATTTTAACTCAGACCTTGCAGCTTAGAAACTTTACAACACCCGGTCTTTTACCCTTTAACTTTTTCACTTTAACTTCAATTTCTTTTACCCTTACAACTTCAAGGTACACACAAGACAATCACTGCCAGGTGTAGGAGAACATAGCACATTGATAAACAGTCAGATCTTTGAGGAAGCATTAAACAATCTTAAGGTAGTATGCAAGTCATTCAATAACCTCAAAATACCTACATGAGGGTTGGGATTGTAGCTCAGTGGTAGAGTGCTTGCCTTGCATTTGTGAGGCCCTGGGTTCAATCCTCAGCACCACATAAAAATAAATAAATAAAAATAAAGACATTGTGTCCATCTACAACTAAAAAAAAAGTTTAGAAAAAAATAAATAAATACCTACATGAAAACCAGAGAGGATTAAAAGAATAGATGGATAAATTAATGATGGCAAAGAGACGAGAACACTCATCCCTTAGCAGCTGATGACATAGGCCATAAATAAATAATCAGTAACAAAGTACAGCAGAACTACATCATGAACAAGCCACATCTAATGGGCATGTTCAGAACACTGCAAGTCCACCACTACACAGTAGACATTCTTTTAAAGTGAATATGGAATGTTTACCAAAGTTGACCATAGAATGGAACATAAACCAAATCTCGACAAAGTCTAAAAGATGAAATCACACCACAACTCTTCTCTGAACACCACAAAAGTAAGCTGGTGGTTGGGCATGTTGGCCACTGCCTGTCTTGGGAGGTTGGGTCGAGCAGAAGCATTCCAAGTTTTCAAAGCCAACTTCAGCAATTTAGTGAGATCCTTGGTAACTGATCAATACATGGTGTCAAAATTAAGAGTATCAGTAGCCGTAGTAGTACGCAGACTACTGGTAATAGTGTTGATAGAATGAAAATCAAATAAAAAGGGCTGGTTTCAATCCTCAGCACCCCACCCCCCCACCCCCCCCCAAAAAAAAAAAAAAAACAGAAAGAAAGAAAGCAAAAAAAAAAAAAAAGAATCACATAACAATCAATACTGTCAAATGTTAGTAGGCGAAGAAGCACATTTTAAAGGATTCTGTGAGCCAAGCAGAGTGGCACACACCTATAAACTGGACATCAGAGTGTCTTCAGAATCTAAATTAAATGTGCAGGATCTCAAGTTCAAGGCAAGCCTGGGTAACTCAGCAAGAGACTCCTATTCCAATATAACAACAACAACAGTGGGGGGTGGGGGTGGGGAGGAGGGGGGACACCAACATTTCCTGTGGATGTAGGTGGTTCATCCAGTTCCCTGAGTCCCTTGAGTTCCATCCACCCCCAGGACCATAAAAATAGATGAGTGTTTAAGTAATAAAGGAAAATAAAAAGAACAGGAGGCAAAGGAACAAAAATCCCAATGAAAAGTAGGTATTATTATTATTATTATTATTATTATTATTATTATGTGTGTGAGAGAGAGAGAGCACGTGGGGATTGAACCCAGGGCCTTGTGCATGGTAGGCAAGCACTCTACCAACTGAGCTATATCCCCAGCCTATTGTTAATATCATCATCATCATCATCATTTTAACACAGTACCACATTTTGAAATGAATGATATTAAAGGGGAAAAATTTAAGGAATTAAGTAAAACTCTGATAAGATAGAAATGTCAGGCACCCACAGCTCAAAAAAAAAAAAAAAAAAGGCCTGGGGAAATAAAGGAAGCCAGGATTCATTGCAAGAAGGGGATTAAACCCAAAGAAAGTATAAACTTGTACATTCACAAATCTCAGGGAGAAATAGCAGCATTCATCTTTCACAAACTCTTGAGAGGGGCAGGTCAGGAGTCAAGATGAGATTGAAAAACCCCCAACAATGTGTCAACTTTATCAAACCAGTAGCCTAGATAAAGCAGGTACTTGTACTATTCCTTCTCTGTGCCATTTTTTTTTTTTTTTTTTGGGGGGGGGAAGGGGGAGGGGTGGTTCCAGCCATTTTGGGTTCCTACCACTTTGTCTGGAAGGGAAAATTTGTTTTCTGCCAGGCTGGGGTGCCAGTTTTCAGGGCGGGGAAATAAGATTCTTACATTAAACTGGGCTTGCTTGGGGCGGTCTCAGTTCTAATTTACGTAACAACAGGCAGTGCAAAGTCTCTCCCACTGCCCCTGAAGGAAGAAAAATGTGGCCTCTCCAGGCTGTTCACAATTCCCAACCTGTTTCAAATTCCAGTATGGTTTCCCATATCTGTTTTAAGGGTCAGTTTGTCTCTCTAACTCTGCATTTATGCTGGGGGTTTTCAGTGGTTTTTCAGGGGACCTGGGACACACTCAGGACCGTACCCCCAGAATATCCTGCATAGTTTTACATTTAGATCTCGTTATTCTTCTCCTATGTAGATATCTTTAAATCTGGTGGCATTAAAGACTCTATGGCAATCAACCTGTCAATCACCCACCAACAGGGAGGGTGAAGGATGGACCAGCCACACCTGTGCTGTGTCCACACCGCATCACCCAGGCTGACCCCCCATGGGCTCTGGAGCCCTTCGATCCCTGGAGTCCTTTGTCCCTGGTTTTATGGCATCTTCATTTTAGTTGTCTGCAATGTTATGAGAAGTGTAGATCATGCCCTGTGCCACTCCTCGGCTGACTCTGCCCTGCGAATGTCAAGGGGAAGATTCATTGCCCCCCCCAATGTCCCCAGGCTGCTTGAATTCCAATGACTAGATGACTAGGTCTCCTCCCAGCGGGTGGGCATTCTGCAGATCTCTGCAGCCTGTCCCTGCCTGCAGGCCACCGCGGGTCCCCAGGGGGTAAGCATCTCAGGACACATTCTCTCTCTCTCTCTCTCTCTCTCTCTCTCTCTCTCTCTCTCTCTCTCTCTCTCTCTCCTCTCTCTCTCTCCACCCCTCTACCTGGCTTGAGGGCCAAGTTCCTCCCAAGTTTTTTTTTTTTTTTTTTTAATTTTCCCTCCAGAACCCAACACTTCTCCCCAAATCTCTGGTCAGCTGAGAGTCATGGCCCGAATCAGGGGAGCCACCAAGTCCCCTTGTTCTCCTGTAACCTGTGCAACAGGACTGACCCAAACCACTCGGGAGGTATTTGTGGAAACTCAATGGAGTGGACTTTTCTTTGCAAGACTCTAAAGCAATCATCATCATCATCATCATCATCATAATCACCAAACTAGAAAGAACCTCCATCTTTGCCACAGATGGTCATGCAAATGTGTAGCTTCAAACTATCCACGTTTCACAACATCCATTCGTGACCCTTAGATTTGAACAATGGATTTGAGGAGCTTTTTCTTTGAAGATGACCGTGCATGGTGGACACTCGGTGTCCCTATTCTGTAGGGAAATGGGAATTCAACATGCCCACACCCACACGGATGGCTAAAATGGAAAACACACACAACACCGAGTGCGGACGAGGAGACAGACCAACTGGGACGATTCTGGGTGGAGATCCAAAATGGCGCACGCAACTGGAGAACATGGGAAACTGGGCATGAAGTTCAATATACACTTGCTGCATGCACTGGCCGTCAGACTGCTGGGTATGTGCCCAAGAGGAAGGGAAGCTCACGGTCACAGATGACACGTCCACACATATTTATAGTGACTTTCTTTATTATGGTTAAAAATGGGCATGCAATTATGTGGATCATTCATTTGGGGACTGACCAAGGCCACAATACTGTCACACACACAAAGAAAGCAGAGACTGGAACACCTAGGTTTGTACCAGAAGAACACACAATGGTCAAAGTGGGCATCCATGGGCAAATCTTTTGTGGTCCATGCACACTGTGGAATATTATGCGGCTATGAAAAGAAATGGGTCTCTGCTGGTTGGTACAGGGTAGGAGATTCTGGGAAATGGGATGTCCCGCGGAGAAACAATTAGACACCAAAGGACACACAACTTCATTTCGGTCAAACTATCCAGATGGGGCAGATTCGGGTCGGAAATCAGGTTTGAAGTGGCCAGGGATTGGGGGAAGGGAACGAGGAGTGATTGCTAAGTGGGGATGGAGTCTCCTTTTTGGGTTCTGAGAATGTTCTGGAACTAGAATGAGGTGGACTAAATGTTCAATGCCCCAGGTACCTCAGGCGAATCGGCTTCGAGACCTTCAGCCCCATGATGAAAAATTCCCTCAGCTGCTGCCCAACATGGGGGGCTTGGCCGAGCCTCAGATCCCCCTGTGACACCCCCGTGCCTGATGCCCTCCAAGGACAGGAGGTCCTGCTCTGCTGGATATAGAGCGCAGCGGGGTCACTCCTGCCCTCCTGCATGAGCTGAGCTGGATCCAGCTGGCCCCTTCCCACACCGCTGGGAGGCTCTGGGAGGGACTGTTCCCTCTCTTTGATCCGGGACCCCGGGGACCCCATCTGCTCCCAGCAAGTGCCAATCAGACCCAGGTGGTTCCTGCAGCCTAGAGCGCCACTGTCCTGCAGCCCCCCCCCCCCCCCCCCCCGTGAACTCGCAGCGTCCCCCTGGGCGGAGCCTCTCCTGCATCTGGGGCAGCAAGACTATCTCCTGGGCCTCAGTATGTGAAAAAAAGAGAGGACAGAAACCAGATTCCCGTTTGCTTGTAAAGGCGGGTTTAATGGCGCTGTTATTGCTGAGGGAAATTAAGTCCTTATGAATTGGGTCCCATAATCAGGGCCCGCGCTGAGCCGGGCATCTGCTGCGCATTAGCACTTGGCCAGCTGCGTGTGGCCACGCGGGCGCGAGGTCCTGTTTCCATTCAGCGCCTCGAGGGGCCCCATTGGATCTGAAAGGTAAATCCAGGACCCAGAGCGGGAGCCCAGAGGAGGCGGGCACCTTGCAGGGCCTCGTCCCACGTGGTCACCCCGTCCATCTTAGCACAGTTGCTCTGTCTGGGGACTGAGCTAGGAGTTGACAGAGGAGGCCACGCTTTGAAAAGTGCAGCCTGTTGGTTGTGACATTTATAGCACAGAAAAAAAAATGTTCGCTTTTTTATCTTCATTTCTGTATGTATTCTTCCCGGGAGGGCTGAGGATTGAGTCCAGCAAGCTGGACATCCTAAGCAAAGACTCCGCGGATGAGATAAACTCCTAGCCCATTTTTAAATTTTATTTGGACACAGGGGTCTTGCTAAGTTGCTTTGATAAATTGCTGAGGCTGGCCTCCGACTTGCAGTCCTCCTGCATCAGCCTCCTGAGCCATGGGAATGACTGGTTAGCACTGCACACGGCACGTGGCCTTTTGAAATGCTGCTTTTTAATCAGACAAAAGTCAGGGGTCAGTCAGCATGGTGGCACACACCCGTCATCCAAGTGGCCTGGGAGACTGAGGCAGGAGGATCCCGAGTTCAAAGCCAGCCTCAGCAAGAGTGAGGCCCTAAGCAACTCAGGGAGACCCTGTCTCAAAATAAAATGCCAAATAGGGCTAGGGGTGGGGCTCAGGGGTCGAGGGACCCTGGGTTCTATCCCTGGTACCAAAAAAATGTCAGGGAGGAGGACTGGACAGGGGAGCTACCTTTGGTTTGCTCTCCATCACTGTGACAAACACCTGAGACCATCGCATTATGAAGACAAAAGGTTCATCTTGATTGACAGTTCTGGAGAGTTCAACCATGGTTATACGCCCCAGATGCAGGGACAAGAGGGCCCCTCACTGCAAGCCCAGGCCAGGAGGACATTTATGTGCAGGGGGAGGGGTCCCCATAATCTAGGCCACGCCCCCAGTGACCTCTTTCCGCTCAGGCTCCACCTCTTAAAGGCTTTGCAACCTCTCAATAGGGGCCACTCCAATGCATGCGCCCTTTGGGCTTGGAGGGCACGCTCCAGGTCCAAAGTACAACTAGGAAGAGGGACAGTTGCTCCTCCCAGCTCCTGGGGCTACAGGTGGCCCTGGGCTGGTGGCCCCAACATTCCAGTCTCAGCCTCCGTCTCCACGTGGAGCAAATCTGATGCAGCCAGGGACTGACTCCGGGTGCTTAAGCACCGAGCCACAGCCCAGCCCTGTTTCTTCTTTCCTGAGAGACAAGGTCTCCCTGAGTCGCTTAGAGCCTGACCAAGGGCTGAGGCTGGCCTCCCTCTTGTCCTCCTTTAGCCCATCTGGATCGGAGGCCCACGGAGACTGCTGCGTGGAGATGGTTCAGGCACCTGGAGCCTGCACCCCTGAGCCAGTCCCTGCTGCCGGCAGCTGGGGTTCCATCCTGTGGGATGGCCTTCCACAAGGCCAGGCCCCTGCCCACGCCTACAATCTCCCCTGCATGGGGCCTTGTAGCAACTCCCACCTGGGGCCCCAGGATCCAGAGCCAGCCTCGCAGCCCCCCAAGAGAAGAAAGAAGAGATACCTGCGGCATGACAAGCCCCCCTACACGTATTTGGCGATGATCGCCTTGGTAATTCAGGCTGCACCCTCCCGCAGGCTGAAGCTGGCCCAGGTGAGAGGCTCCCCCGCCTTCCTCATGCCCCGCGGTGGGCCTTTTCCCAGACTGGCTCCCCAGCTGTCTCACTCTCAGGTGTGGCTTCCACCCCAACCTGGCCCACCCAGCTCTGCCAGTGGGACCAGTC